GGTTAGTGCAGCTAAGCTGGTCGAGACCGCTTGGTACCTATGCAGGCTTGATTGAGTGCTACGGAGGGTATATGCGGTTGAGCGGCTGTAGGTTGTATTACATGCATCTCGAGTGGCTTGGTGGTTGAGCGAGTTGTTGAGTTGAGCCTATTTCCTGACCGTACTGTTTGTTGTGGGTAGACATGTAGTAAAAAAAACCCCCAAAAAAACCCAAAAAACTTCTCAACAGGTAAACGGCAATTCGTACGGATCAGACTGTAAAAAAACACCACCGGCTATGCGGGAAGGCGTACGCGGCGCAGCGACGCAAAAGAAAAAGGTTGTCGGTCGCGGCGTTTAGGGTCCGCCGGTCCGCTGCGCGGTGGAATTCGGCTTTGACCACTGAGAAAAGCAGCGCCGAAGCTGCATGGCGTTTTCCAGCCCCAGGCACTCCCATTCCAACGTTCCATGCTTGTCACTTTTTTGTCTGTCGGTGAAGGAACTCTCCTGACTGACTCTCAATCTCGAGATCCTCTTCCTTCTCGTCTGTGTGTCGAATCCCCATAATCTCTGCCATAGCGCTTGGGCTAATGCAAATCATTTGCGACCATCACGACATCCTTCGTTCCTTTTCCCTTCGCGTCGCAAGTCCCTAAAAAAAAAGCCACGCCCCACCTGACAGATGGCGACCAGGTTCCCTTGTAAAAAAGCGGGACACATTTTTCCCTTTTGGGGCTTAGTAACTACGCCGGTGGAACCGCTTCGGCAGACACCGAACGATCTAGAAGGGAAAAAGAAGACTGTCCTAACCCACACCTAACCGTCCGCGTCCGTGCGCGGAAGTTTTCTTGGCGCTAGTGTCTTTTGGATCCGTGCGTGAGAGAAGGGAACAAGGGGTCATTGGCGGGGTGTTCTCGGCGGGGCTTTCGGCGTCGGTGGTTCTCGAGCGAGTTGGGCTCTTCTTTTGGAAGGGAGTGCGTATTACTGTGTCGAGAGAGTGGCTTTGGCAGAGAGAAAGGGGCCATTAGTAGCACGTGGTACGATGGTGAGCAGTTTTTAGATGGGCGAGTGTTTATTGAGCTGCAGGAGCATTGTCCCTGATCGGGTGGGGTTCAGTTTGGGGAATACCCATGACGGGAGATACATAGAAACAGAATAGTAACGGCTTCGTCATGTTGTGCGGTAATGTGTTAGGTAAGAGATGCAGGGTAAATTAAGGATTCAACATGGTGGTTTACTTGATCCAATGTGAAAAGTACCTCTCCAGCGCATATGCCTCACCGACTTACGGATACGGGCAAGAGCGGAAGCACAAGCCTCATGCGTCAGAAAACCACTTTTTTCCCCCCTCTTCCCACGTGGTGACGGGAGGCTGTGAGATGAGGGATCTCTGATCGCGATTGGGAGGGCTGATGGGTGGCGCACCAGCTCCGACGAACACGAAATACCGCGGCCCCCCCCCCAACTCAGTCAGTGGCTTGCCCTACCCGCTCGCTGCCTGCCCTTTGCACACAGGGCTGGGGCTGCTGGCCATTCGTGTTTTTTCTTTTCTTTTTTTTTCCAAAGGGAGAAATTTGCTCGAAGCAGCGACCGAGCACATGCAAGACATGTCGTCCAGCTGAGCTGGGGTAGAGATGCAGGTGGTCGGCAGTGGGGAGTTAGCGCTCCTTCGTGTATGTACAATCCTGAGTAGCGCGTTGAAGCTAAAAGGTTCTAGAGGCTCGAGCTGGTGCGTGGAAGCCATCAGCCCCAGGCTTCCCCGTAGCGGCACTTCAACTCCACAGCCATGGGTGCGCGATGTTTCAAAGGGCTTGACGGGTTTGTGATACGTTTACCCCGGAGTTGACGTCGACGAGGGTAGGTAGGAAGTTGAGCGGTGGTCCCACGGTGGCGTTGCCAGGTCATCACCCGCATGCCAGCCTTGTTGAATTTTTGTTGCTATCGCGAGTCGTGGCGACCTGAAACAGTCCAACGGCGGCGGGGAGCCATAGCAGGGGACGTCCCCACAAGGCGGTAGCAGATGCAGTGTGGGATGGAGGCGATAGTATGAAGATCAGAGCTCGGGAGTTAGTAGCTGCCTTGCCATGACAAGGCATGTGTGCACGAGCTTCACGGGCCCGTGTCGAGTGTCAGAGCTTCGAGCTGGGGTGATTCGTGGCAGCAACAGCAAAACAGGCGACGCCTGCTTGTCGTCGGCGATGGGGGAGAACCCTGCCGCCGTGGTATCCTTTGGCCCGACTGGATCCCAGCTCTGATCTCATTCAGCCCCGAAGCCACGTCTTAGGCCCCATGGCAGCCAGTTCAAGTGTGTCTGTAGAGGGGGCTGTCCGTAGCCCCCTTGCTCCTTTCAGCTCGCTGGAAGAGAAGCAACCTTCAGTGAACACTCACCTTCTGCACAACGACAAGGACAGTCTCAAACGGATGGTGTCTTTCCATCTCACGCGCATTCTTCAGCTTCCAAAAAGTGGTGGCTTTACGTCGCAGAAGTTTCACCATTGGCGGGAGAGGGGGGGGGAGAGGGGGGGCTCATTCTGAACTCATTAAGTATCATCATCGTCAACACTCCCTCAGAGTTCACTGATCGTTTTTTTTTTTCCATTTCTATGAGGACATCTCCTAAAAAATTTGCCTGCCCATCCAAGGTACATTAACGCTCCAAATCTCGAGTCCCAACCAGGTCCAATCGTCCCCCCCCCCAAAAAAAAACGTAGTGTAAGACTCGAATCGTTTCCCCCATGGAATGGAAAGACAAAGGCTGGACACCCGGATCTCGCAGTGAAAAGGTCAAGCCCCGGTGTCCACAACGGCGCGCTATTTCTATTTCGATGTCCAACTGTCAACGGTGCGCCTATCCGCAAGGTAAATAGGGTCTGCGATGGGGAGCCAATGGACTCGAACTCCCTTGGGGGCCGAACGCACGCAGACCTGCGATCGATTCAAGATCTCAGAATGGAAACCCCCGATCTCACCCGTCATCAAATCCCAGTTGAAGGGTAAGCGGCCCGAAGCAAACAAAAATTCCCCAAAAACTGCGCCTCCGCCTCCAATCCTCTCTGTACAGCTAGATCTACATCCCGATTGTTTGTCCCCTTATCATCGCTGCCTGGGGTATTTACAACTTCCTGGGATCATTCATGTTGCTCTGCGGCGTACCCATCGGATCGGAACTGCAGTCTTGCTTGGCCACGATGACATTCCAGCCGTCTTTCATGAAGACTTGGCCGCTGGTCCACTTGGGAGCGTCTTTGCAGTTGGCGACGACATATTTGGGGGCTTCGACGACGTTTGTGCCAGCTGTTGATTTTCTTTTTTGAAGAGATTCTGCGGGTGGTGGCCAATCAGCAGCACTTGGGTTCAAGCTTGGGGGAGGCAATGAGGGGCTTGCATCGTTGCACATGATGATGCCAAATGTTGCCGTCGCAAGAGACGCGATCGCCGGCGGGAGGGGAGTGGCAAGCTGGGGGAGTTTGAGCATGGCAAGTGCCACGGGGGCCGCTCGAAGTGGGGGATCTTGGAGTCGTAGCAGGGGTTATCGAAAGTTGAGGGAGGGGGAGACTTACCGCTCCGATCATCGACAGCGCGGACATAACGCTGAGTATCATCTTGGTGAAGAACATCTTGGACACTTATTTTGAGGATCGGTTCGTGAACTTGTCTGATTCTTCGGGGCGGGTTGATCCGCAGAAGAGAAGAAAGTTTGGGTAATTCCGTGGTACCAAGGACGGCAAGAACGGAAGGAAACACCGCGAGTCGGGGCTGACAAAAGGAAGAGTTCCAACGACCGTGAGCCTCACCGCGTTAAACTCTTGGGAGGCGATGGAGAACTTGAGTTTCTTGTTGGTTCCGTTGAAGACTGCATCGTAGGAGGACAACTTTCTCGGCCAGGGTATGTCGAGACTGACGGGCCATCTTCCCCAGCCCCTGCCATCTCTGTTGACCTCGCTGTTCTCGTGCTGCGTGGCATCCAGCTGCTCACCCAGTGTTGTGGTGCTGAATTTCCAAAGTTCGGGAGAGCGGTTACGCTTGGATCCCTCGCCGTCGATGGATGCTCGGTTGCTTTCCCTCCGCCTCTTGCTCTGCGTGAACACGATGGGGGGTTGCTTCATCATCAGCTTGACGCGACAAGATTCCTCAAGAGCTGGCTCGCCCGGACCTGACTTGAATCTAGGGAAGTAATTGAGCACTCGAGGGTCTGGGTGAGTTGGCCAGGGTGTGTTTGGGACGTTTGTGTGTAGAAGGGCTTTTGCATTTATAGCTGGTGTTGGTTTCTCGCGGACATCTCGCTGTCACGAACCCAACCCTTTGCCATCAACCAGTATTCGTAATAGTCCTTGATTTTTGTGGTTGCTTGATGGGCTGGTGTTGTAGGTGATGTGACACCGCTGCTGGTAGGTAGGTGCAGCACTGTAGGGGGGCGCGTGTCGTTGGTAATGTAGTTGCAAACCCGGCCCATCGACTCGTTCAGGAGGTCGGCGATGTCTTTGTGGTTGTAGATTACACACCGAATATTTTGGCCATATAAGTGTCGGCCCATCCGAGAACGTATCACTTTCGGATGCCCCATCCTCAGCCCGTGTTTCCGGAGCAGACTTTGTATACCTCTCGGATCTAATCATTTGTCACCTTTCAATCATGTTTTCCCAGTTCCCAAACCTCCAGGACTCACAACCCCTAGCCTTGTCATGCGTTTGACCCCCCACATCCGATTTCCCAATGTTTTCTTCACAAAAACCCCCCACCCAAACACACCAACAATCACTCTCCGTGACAACTCAAAGTACTCAAGCTTCCATGGTTTTACAGCGCCCTCAAGCCGCTCACTTACTCAGTGGAGTCACCCACCCACCCACCGCCCCATCTCTCCTTCCCTCTCTCCTTCCCTCTCTCCTTCCCTCTCTCCTTCCCTCTCTCTCCACCGCATCCACACTCCACTTGACTCATCTCAGCCGAACCAGCAGCTGCCACCACCCACTTAACCCCCCCACAACAGTCTCCTCTCCAACAACAAAACAAAAGTTCTAGTCGCTTTAGCGGAGTGGTTGACGCGCTGCCCTGCTATCTGTTCTGATCAGCCGGCTAGAACAACCGTACAGGTAGTTCCTTCGGGAGCGTAGGTTCGACTCCTGCAGGCGACGTTGATTTTGTCATTTTCACTGCTACACCTACCATAGAATGTCCGGGAATGGCTGTGTGCGTTAGGACTGCTTGGGTTTATTGTTGGTGTGATGTGTCCAGAAGGAGACGGATGGAGGTGAGAGACGGAAAAGTGGGGATACTTGCCCCTGGATCCGTGGATGCGAAAAGGGGGTGGGTATTCATGTCAACCTGAACTCACCCTTATGCCCTGCAGTCCTCTCACACCAAAGCCACTCTTTTCCCCACACCAATTCACATGCCACCCTGCGACACAAAATGAACAAAAGAACACCTTGATTTTGGTCTCTGTCTGCCTCTCACATATGATATCTCATCCCACCCCGTAGGTCCAAAACTATCCAGCCAGTCATGCCACACGCACCTTCACACCGCGCATCGACTAATCGATCAATCAATCGCATCGCTCGCATCGCCTTTTCGCCCTGACCACCACCCACACACACACACATACTATATACACACCCCAGCTCCAGCCTCCCCAAACGCACCATCCCACAAGGGACTCTGCTTCTCATCCCACTTCCCCGTCCCAACATCTTCTCCCCCCCTCTCCGATACCTCCGTCTCCGAGACTGTGCTCCACCATAGCCCCGGTACGCAGAGCACCACGCCCCTGTCGATGTAGTAGCAATCCACCGCCGCCTTCAAAGCATTTGGCCCATCTCTCGCCTAGATGATGATGAGCTGTACACCGTTAGTCTCCCGCCACCCTATCTTCATTATCACTGTGCAAGAAGACTCACCTCAATCAACTTCTCCGTCAACCCAAAACAAGCCTTATCCTGCTCCTGCGCCAAATTCAACGAGCAACTTCTCCACAGCCCGCCAAAGCCCATATCGTCCAACCTCTCGTTCAGCATCCCAGGTGTTTCCATGGCAGATGAAAATTTAGCATTCGCCGTCAACGTCTGCAGCAGCGTATGCGCCGACTCGAGCGTTGCTGAATTCTGGCAGTGTAGCAGGATATCATCGAGTATCGAAATGATGGGTCCGCAGAGGTGCATGACGACCGAAGGCCTGGAGCCTGCTACCTCGTTGAGCCACTGGAGGGTGCGATTCTGCACGGCATCGTCGAGGTATTGGAAGTCGACTAGTTCGATGGCGGTGTTGAGGAGGAGGTCTTTGTCCTCGACTGCTTCGAGGTCTTGCGGGGCGCGGCGGAGGGCGCTGATGTCGGTGAGGCCGGCGGGGTTGATGCCTGCGGACCAGAGACTGTCTCTCAATTCTTCGAGGCTGGTGGCGCGTGAGAGCATGAGAGCCATGTAGGGTGACCCCGCGAGATCCTTGATGCTCTTTTCCTTGGTGGGTTCTGGAGTCCAGGTGGTCATCTCCAAGAAGGTAGACAGCACCCGCATGGCCGTGGCCTTCGTGATGGTATCGGTAAGACCGCGCACGAGACAGGCGCATGCCGCAAAGTGGAAGTTCTTGCTGTTGAAGTGAATGCCGTACGTCTCATCCAGCGGTAGTGCCGCATCCTCGAGCTGTCCGCGGCCCGCCAGGAGATGCGGCACCATCTTGTCCCCGCGGTTGTCGCCCGACGTGCTGATATTGGTGAGCACCGACTCAAGGAACATAGCTGTGCAGTTAAACAGGTTCGGCGGGACCAGTCGCAGCAGCGACATAGCCAGCCAAAACAGCTGCAGTCCGTACCGTGACGCCGACGGCAGCTTCGCCATCATCTTGGATAGCGACGTTAGAATAGCCACGAGCATGTCGCTGTTGCTATCATCTCCGAACCGCCCCACGCTATTCCGCAGCGCCACCAGCACTTGATAAAGCAGATCATCATCCACCTCTTCTCTAGCCAGACACCCCATGACAGTGAACGCCCTTGGCTGAATGGCCGGGTTATTCTGGAACGCCGTGCTCGCAACAAGACTCATCCACCGTGACCGCCACGCATTAGCAACGTCGACCGATGGCGCCGCCACGGCGCACGTCTCAAACAGCAGTGTAGCGAGGTTCTCCGTCGCCGCCAGCGTCGGGCCAGCATCTTGGTTCGTCGATATCGACGCGCCGTCCCGCATGAACGGCACAGCATGCGAAAAAATGTCGCTCCTCGGATCAGACAGCGTCTCCAGCGTGGCACGTAGCTTATTAAGCCTGGCTTCGTCGAGCGTGAACGAGGTACACGCCGAGTGAATCGAGTTGACGAGCAACCTGTGAACAACAACCCTGACGTCCGAGGACCCCGTGTTGGCCAGCATCGTGACGATGTGGAAGATCTCGGGCAGGTACAGCTGCGACTGGACGCCGCTGTCGAACGACAGCGCCAGGCAGAACTGCAACAGCACGCAAATTTCGTTCCACACCGAATTGTCAGGAAGATGCTTCGTCGGCCTCAGCGACGACCGATTGAGCGCCTTTCGCAACCTGGAAATAATTTTACCTCGCAGGGTAATCGTCCCAATGGCACTCGCAATCGACGTCAGCGTCTCCGTCTGCTCGTCCATAAACCCCGTGCTGAGCGCCGCCTTGATGATCTCCTCGAGGAAGATATCCAGCAGCACCTCGTCCTGGTGAATAACCGGCCACACCGATTGCTCCAGCGTAAAATTGAGTGTGGGATCTGACAACGTCACGTCGATCAGCTTCCTAAACAGCGCCGCGATCTTGTCTCGCCCCTTCTCGCTCTCGGCCTCGCCCGCCAACAACGATGTCCGCAGCCCGGGGATCCACGGCGCCATGTAAGCAAGGCTCAACGGCTTCTGCTCGTCCGAGAAGCTGTCCCACCCGACGAAGAACTCGTTCAGGAAATCCGACGTCAGTTGTGGTTCTGCCTGTGCCAGTTTCCTGCTGATCTTGATGATGAACTGCGACGGATCCAACGGCACCGAGATATCCTTCGTAGCCAGCAGCTGCGACGACGCCGTGAACTTGAACGCCTTGCACAGCGCCCCGAGCAGGTTATACGATGATAGCCGCAGTATCGCATCCGGACTGGCCAAGTTCGTAAGCGCCAGATTGAGCAGCGTCCCGGGTACATCCTGCGGTCGGATCAGGCGCTCAAACGACTTCATCGCCCGGGTATCCTTGCCGTATTTCGCCTTGGCCGCCCTGATAGCCTGCAGCACATCCGTCTTCTTGGGACTCGTAAAGTACATGACAATCTTGCCGTTGTCAGCCCTGAGCCCAAACGCCGAGTCGTCCTCGGTCTGTATCGATGTCGGGGCTTCGTCGATATCACCAAGCCGGAAGATGTCGTTGACAGTCGTGCTGAGCCGGAAACCAGGCACCTCTTGCTTCTTGGTCGTCGTCACCTGTACAAACTGGCTGCCCACCTTGATAACCACCTCGATCTTCCCCTTGGACTTTGACAGTCGGATAATCGGCTGGAAGACATAGCGTGTGTCTGTCACCACACTGATCGTCTCCTTTGGCAGGTGCAGCTGGCTGAGATGGAAGTGCGCCTGCAAGTCCTGCAGGCTTCCGATGAGGTGATACTCCACGTTCCGGGGGTTGAAGACGCTAGTCTCGTTCTTAGTCGAGAACTTCAAGATCCTCCGCAGGCACTTCTTCGTCGCGCTGTTCATGTTGTAGATGTAGACGCGCGACAGCTGCCGCGACAATTCGCTGGGCGTAAGCTGCTCAAGCTTCTGAAACAGCTCATCTTGCGGTTCGCTCTGCCCGTTGTAGCAAGTCGCATCGATGAGCAGCCCGAACGGACGGTGCCACAGCCGACTAGCAATCTTTAGATAGCAGTACAGCAGGGTATCGTAGTCGATTGACTCGGCATCGATGTTCCTAAGAATGATGCAGATGATCGACAGCCCGTCCTTGCTCTCACCGCCGTCGTAGACCGCTCTCGCTGTTAGGAACGACTCTGTACTCCGAAACGCGTTCCGCAGCATAAAGTTCTGAAACCTCGAGTACGCTGGAGGGGTATTTGCTGAGATCTGCGGTCGGTTCCAGGTAACCGCCAGTGGAGGCGGCCCCAGGTTCATGATGAGATTCCTCAGCGGCTCCAGGACGGAAGATCGCCCCCTTGCCGACTCCCCAGGCGACCTGACAAACTCCCTCCTCTCCTGGGACACCAGGCGCTGCCTGACATGGTCCCAATGATCATAAAGGAACCTATGCAGCGCAACGCAAGAACCAAAGTCAAACGACTCCCCTCCCGTCGTATCCGGTAGCGTCTCCGGCGGAACCTATTCTCGTCAGCCCAAATCCCTCAACCCATCTCTCCTCAAAACCTACCGAAATCTCCCTCAAAAACGTCGTAACCTTATAAATATTCTGCGCCAAGAACCCATTCAGCGGGAACATGTACGGCTCCTTCGCGCCGAACAACACATTGTTCGCCAAGTTCTGAATGACCTTTGCAATGAGCAGCAGCCCTCTCCTCATCTCCTTCGACGGCGCCGTAGCCACCAACCCCTCCACCTCGGGCGCGACAATCGCAGGGCAGAAGAAGCGCAGGAAGATGAACGCGCCCACCGCCGTGTACTTTGCATCCGGAAACCTCGGCATCACCGCGTTGGAAATCTGTCCTATTAGCCCGCACGCCTTTCACGTCCTCCCGAGGGAAACTTACAATACTGCAAATCTTCCTAAACGACGGCGGTATGCTCGAAACCGACGCCCTTATATCGTCAATAAACACCTTCGCCACCACCTGGAGCTGTCCAGCATTGTTCGTCAGCTCCTCCGGCGAGCTCACCCTCGTCGGGTCCAGCTCCAGATTGACGTCCTTCGCCGCCGTCATCAACCTCTCCAGCACCTTCTGCAGCGTCTGCTTCAGGTACCCACTGCCCTTCCACTTGGCATAGATGGACAGCATCTTCGTCGCGACGCACGTCCTCCTCAGCAGCTCTGACTCGTTCTCCGTGTCCTCGACCTCCTGCTTGATCAGCGCCTCCAGCAGGACAAAGCTCATGCCTCTCGTCTCGAATATATTCAGCAAGGAAATCGTCAACTCATCAACTTCGTGGCTGGGACAGACCGCGCTCATGGCAGCTGCTAGTGTTGTATCGCTGGT